CATGTTACGAGCATGCAAGCTTGCAGCGCAGTTTGAAATCACGCGAGCATCCATTGAAAACGCCTGGATGTAGGCAACAGGTGGCGCTCTAGCGTAAAGCGTTTTAATTGAAGATTTCGCTTATATACTATGTGCGTCTCTCTTACACGCATTTAATTGGATTACGCTGAAGACGATATGTGAAATCACAGATAGATTTCTATTTAAACAGCTTTAATTAATCTCAATTCTCTGTGCGGACAGTTTCTCTGTGTAATTTTGCAAAACAAAAGCTGCTTAGAAATTGAATCTTTAGCGGTGGCAGCAATTTTCGGCTTAAAGCCATTTGTGGCCTAGCCCAGCGAATGCCTAGCGTAGCATTTTGTGGCTTCTTTAGCCAACACTAAAATGCTTGAGCTTGATTTTAAGGCTCATTTGAGGGCAAACCGGCAATGGAGCTTCCAGAAATATGCCACTTAATAGTTATGCGTGCAATTTCCTTTACCTCCGCCTCCGCCTCCGCTACCGCCTCGGGCTGAAGCACTTTTGTTGTTGTTGTCGTTGTCGCCGCGTTGTTGTCATTGTCAGCGAGCACGGGAAATTGCTATCAAATTGGCAGCATTGTTTTCTGCCAATGATTTTCCTGAAATCCTGAAGGGCCACACAGAGAGCGGCCGACAGACTGTAGAATGCGGCATCACATGAGCTGAACACAGATGCGAGTTGCGTGCATGAAATCATTAGGTTTTGTGAGTTTTACAATGCTGCCAGAGAGTTGGAACTGATATTCGGACTATACTACATGTGAAACTGGGTGAATAAAAAGAGAATGAAGGTGCAAGGCTTGAGCTATATATATGGGCAAGTCTCCATTTGCAGGTTTTGGTGACTTGTTATATCCAAAGATGTAAATCTCTCCAATATTAAAGAGAGTAGGTAAAGGAACTTTAGTAATATTGGCAAACTTCACGTATTGTTGAGGCAACCCTCGCATATTTGCACCGATGGCCAGACTGATTAAAGTGTGTATTCGCTGTGTTCGGCTGTTTTGTATTGTCAAAGGAAGGGAACAATGGCTCGGACATCAGCTGAAAGGTCCTTGCAATTTAATGCGCCTATTTCACTGACATCCTATGTGCGTGTGTGTGCGTCTGTGTGCGTGGGCCCATTGCTGCTGCTGCTGCTGCTGCTTATGTGGCAAAAATTGTCAGTTAACATCATTTATTATTGATTTTCCCTTTGTAAGGCCGTGTTTTGCTGCCTTTCAAAGCAGTTTTGCTGCTATGGTAAATATTCTTTTTGGGTCACTTAGTCGTACTGCTGTCCGCTGTCTGCTGTTCCTAATGTTTCACGCGAAAGATGATTGATGAGTGCGAACCGTTATATCCATATAAATGTTCTACTGCCCGCAGAATTTTTGCTAACTGGTACGATTTCGTTGGTATATAACTGCTTAGAGGCATCTATGTATCATGGAGCGACCTTCAACTTAACAGCTTGACCTAATTTCACTCCATTCCAATTCCAATACTCGTTCGCCAAAGTGAGAAGAGGATATTGGTGTGCTGGCAATGTTCAGACTGGAGCTGGAGCTGGAGATATATTACAGGAGTTTGGTATATGGAAACCCACCCAGATGAAAGTACGCATCTTGGGACGTGGCAAATAGATGCGAACTGGGTTTTATTTAGTTCGATAGTTGGTACAATCCCTTGGGGGATTGGCCAGCCGGAAGAAAACTGTAAATTTCACACCTTTAGTGTGGGAATCCATAAATTCTCTCCACTGATAGGTCTATAAATTATATGGCATATCCGATATACATATGTATGTACTTTCTGAACGAGTATTCCGCACTCAACTCTGACCAAGTGTAACATTTTTGCCCATGCCCTTTTTATGAGGGTACGCGTGGCACTCTCGAGTTTGCGTTTTAATTGCCTGCAATTTCGATCCGCAGGTGAAATGTTGTAATGAATCATTCATTGGCATATTTAATGAGTATATATGTGTGTAGCTATATGTGTGGGTCTCGAATATTTGTTTAAATCAAACGTAATTTGAATTTATGCAACACTATGTGGCAATTACTTTGTTGGCTTCGATCGTTGCAGCATGATGGCAGGAAATTGGCGTGTTTTAATTATGATTTATTGGAATTGCGCGTTTTTATTTGCACTTTTACATATTGGCACACGCGTCTGGCAGTGCGTGAGCCAAAAAACTGAAAAACACATTAAAACGATTTCCACCTTATCGGCGCATGAATGAAGCCGCAAATTGCGTTTAATTTGTGAATTTTGTACAATTGATATCGACGGGCAACAAAAAGAAGACACTGCAAGAACCATTCATTTTGCTATGAATTTTCAATTTTTTTTATTATTATTTTTTTTTTATCATAATTAAACAATACGAAATCTTGCGTCAGCGAGTTGACTGATAAGAGTACTGGTTAGGTGGAACACTTTTTGGGGACACCAGTGTAGCCATGTGGCAGTACTATTCTTCAAGTGAATTGTGCAAGCAGCAGAAAAAATAAGATAAATAGAAAGCTGTCGAAAGATAACATTGGCTGGTCAGAAGTCTACAAATGAGTGTAGACTCCAAACATTATTGAGTATTGGAGACTTTCATTTGCGTAGCAGACAAAGCAATTAATTACGTTACGGTTCGGTAAAAAAGAGGATTGTATTAAATTTTTAGAATGATTGATAATATATTCCATTTTAGTTAGGTTAAAATGCGAGTATAGTATTGCTATACTAGCATATCACATTATTATAGTTAAAAATATAGGTAAATTTGCATCTATAGGCAACCAGGCTCGTAATTTATGTTATTTGTGTACCTCTAACATATTACGTAAGTAAATGATTGTGTCTTACGTAACGCTTTTGAGAGCTTACGCAGTATATAAAAGCTGCTCACAGCGGCTTAAGGCATGCCGCTAAACGAAGACTTTTGAGCTCAGTGGCCCTGGCGGCTTCCCAAGAGTGGGCCGACAAATGACATGCTAAACTAATTTTTGGTGTCATCCGCACATGTTAAACACTAAATTCAAATGACAGGAGACGCCCCACAAGTGACTTGTCCTGCGGCGTTAGCTTGATTAATTTTTGGCTGACAAGTGCTTAGTAATAGAGAGTGCGAGTGCGACACACAGTGGGAGAGGGAGAGAGCGAGCGTGAGATGAGAGTGTGAGTTGAAAGACACAAATCATTGCGAAATGACTGTTGTGCTGCTCTGTTGCGTTGGTGGGTGCGGGTAATTGTATTTTTAGCGAGTGCAACAACAACATAATAACACAGACCCCGCTACACAGCGAGTGAGAAAGAGAGACAGAGAGAGGGAGGACAAACCGCAAGCGTATAATTCGTTTACTGCTGCTGCTGCTGCTGCTGTCGTTCAGGCTGATTATGCTATGTCGGGCATATTTGAGGACATGCGTGGAGCTGTTGCTACAGACGGTTTCGTTGGAAGACGTTAGGGAATGGGTGGCTGAGTTGCATCTACATGAAAATGGTAATATCAAACAACAACAACGATAAACAATGAAATCAGCCATAAACGTAATGAAACGAAATGACGCACAGTCAGACGGATCAATGGCAAGGGATAAGCTTGCCAGCCACCAATAAAGAAATAACAAAAAACAGAAAACAAAAAATACCCAAATGGCAATTTGTCTGGGATTAGACGGCCAATGGGTTTGCGTGTCCAAGGCTAAAACTCAATTGACAACACAATACCAATAATGGCAAACCACCAAATGGGCCAGCCGAACAACGCGCTGTCAACGCGGCTAATTACTCACATCCAAATGGTCTGCTGCTTGGCAGGATTCCAAATGCCAAACACTCAAATACCAGCAGCAGCCACAACAATGTTTCGCGCAGTCAACGAACGTTGAAACAAAGCAGATTCTAAAACTCAATCAGGACTACCCGAAAAAAAAGAAAAAACAAACAAATAAACCAAAGAGCGCATAAATACTTGACACTTTGCATACCCTTTAACAGAGTAGCGAATGCAATAACATAGCTTTAATTTTTGCTAACATACCCTTTAACAGAGCTGTTAAGGAAAAACTTGACGTAGCTTAATTTCTTTTCAAGTTAAAGCTCTAACGGAAATTACTATGCGAATAAAGTACTGCGATTTGCTAAATTAGAAAATGTCTATGCGGAACAAAATAATAATAAAAAAAAAAAAAAAAACAAATTGCTTCTATAATTCCACGCAATCCTGCTTTCTACACTATTCGTTTAGCTGTAAGCTGTGTAAGGATCATTGTGGGACTCTTCTGCTTAAAAACTCCCTTGTGAGCCGTTATGGCTCGTATGCCCGGATTGGTTTGCCCGTCTGCCAGCGAACCGTGCAGCGTGGAGTCGCGTTGAGCCGAGTCTCTGTGTCAGTTTCAATTTCGTCGCATTTATTTCGCTCAACCCACTTGGCTGCAGTGCAGCAACGCATACAAATTGCGGTTAACTGCAGCTCGTTTGGTTGCCTCTGGCCGGGCGATTAGAGAAGTGGTCAACTGGGGACAGATGCTGAAATGTTGCTCCTTCTTAAAGCCTCTGGCTGCTCCACACTAATTATGGTTTGCCACGCGTGGAAAACGCCATCGAATTCATTTTGTGTCTGCGCCACTCTGGATATCGCCGCATACAGTTGGCTGCCTTTTCAATTACCTGGCTGACTACTTAATGGCCAGGTGTGTGGTTACGTGTGAGTGCGCTGAAAACTGCCAAATCGATGGTCACGTGTGTTGGCGGTTTACATCGAACTCGGATTGGCTTTCCAGCCACACACACACATACAAATGTTAAAAGTTAAGAATATGTTTTTTTTCAAGCTATATTATAATACAATTTTCCATTGGCGTCTACATATGAGATAATTGGTTTAATTGAGACAAGGACTAAGAGCTAAGTACTAGGAACTAGGCACAGTGTTAGATGCATGTTGTGCTACGATTTTGGCCACGTGAGATTTGGTTGTGGTTGTGGTTGTTTATCTACGGATTGGTCACTCTTTAGGCTCCTTAGAGTGCGGTCGGTTGTCGACGGTTCCAGCGCCAGACAGTTGCATCATCGCACACATAGACCAAGACGCTGGCATCCCGGGAAAATGCTATCTGACGCACAGTCGCCACGCTGCGCGCGTTGTGCAGGGTCGTCATATGGGCACCCTCTGGATCACTGGGATCCATTTCCCAGACATAGACCTTGCCCTGCTGGTTGCCCAGTGCGATAACCTTTTGCCACGGATTGAAGCCGAAGCGCACAAACCATATCTCACACTCATCGTATTCGAACTCCGCGATGATGGTGCACGACGAATCGCTGGGCTTGAGCTGCTCGAAGCTCTGATGCAGCTGGCCGGGCTTCCAGCAGACGATTGCATTCTCGCAGGACTTGGAGAGCACAAAGTTGCCGAACCATTGCACACAGTCCACATAATTGCGATGAATGTCGCGCGTTGAGAAGTCCGGAAAGTGTTTGGTGATTGTGGGAAAGGGCAGCGTTGATTTCTCCTGGCTAAATGTTTGCGACAGCTCGATTTTGTGCTGAAACTCCTGAGTGTTGAGGCACCAGAGCTTCAGCGAATGATCCATGCCACTGCTAACGATGCGATCGCCGCGCATATTGAAATCAATGGAGAGCACCTCGTCGCGATGCCCCTCAACGCCACCAAAGATGGCAATGCATACGTGCGTCTGTATATTCCACAGGCGTATGGCATGATCCTTGCTGCCGGAGAGCAGCAGTTGCAGCTTATGCGGATGGAACTTCAGCTCATTGATTGCCTGGCCATGGCCAATATAATTGCCCACCGCCTCGTTCTGTTCAATGTCAATGACACGGATGACTCCGCGGTAGCCGGCGGCGGCAAGCAGCGGGGCGGACGTCTTTAAGTTATATGACCAGGCGCAGGTATAGAAGACCTCATCGGGCTGGCGTGAAATGGCATGAATTGGCAAGTGAGTGGCATGTCTAGTTATGGACACATTGGCAGCTACTTACATCCGGATCTGCATAGCAGTGGAGCAGTGTCAAGCCTCCTTTGCGCGGACACTCGTAGACGGTGCAACGATTGCTGCCCGCTGTGGCAAACACTTGGGGCTCGTCCTTGCCCAGCAGCGTGTTGAACGACACGCCAAATATGTTGGCGCCATGGTTCTCCTTAACATGCGTGCTTGAAGAGTGAAATTGCTACAGCTTAAGGCCAATTACTTGTTCTCTTTAGTTTCCGACTTACTCGTATTTGTAGGCAGCGCCACTTTTTGGCTTTGATTTGTGGCTGCGGCGGCCGCGACGTTTGCTGCGTGTGCTGGAGGCCGGCGATTTGCTACGTGAGGTGGTGCTGTTTGTGGTGAAACTGGCCGATTCATCCTGCATGTGTGTGCCATGCGGAAATTAATTGTTGTTGCGATTAATTTTCGCGTTTTTCATTGCAATTTGTATATTCAACTTACGCCGCACGAATCGTCCGAGTCTTCATTGGGCTCATTGTCGTTTTTCACTTTTTCGCTGCTCATGGCACTTTCAACACACACTTCAGCCACACGGCCGTTGGGCAATAAACAATTTATCTTGTTTGCAAACAATTTAAGTAACGAAAACAAGTGTTTTTGTTCACTTTTGGCGGCAAGAAACACGCGCAGCGTTGCCACAACGCGATCGTCATAGCGGTGGTACATACAATAACATTGCGCTGTTAATTAACACAAGCTATATCGATAGCTAATTTATGTATCGATACACACATCGCTTATAAAAACTCAAATTGAAATCACCTATCGATAGCTCCCCAAATTAAGTATGCGCGAATAAAGTTTACGCATGCGCAAGCCAATTAAGGAGTAATAGTTATTATTGCTTAAGAATGGTTGAAAATATGGAAAGACAATTACATGCCATGAATTGAAATGTGAGATAACATTTACAAAAATGCTTAAAATATATGCATGTAATTATTTAAGACTGTACATATGCAACACAAAGGGGTCAGGGGTAGTACAGAGCTCGAAGAAATGGGTAATAAAGGGATGTACAAAAGTGGGATTCATATACATTCATACATACATGGAATATATTTACAAAGTTATAGCGATAGAGTAGAAAATAGGGGACAGTATCAAGACAATAAATATATACAGCAGTAGAATAGGAAACGCACACAATTTTTCATATTGTATATAGACAGAAGTTTTATAGAGTAGTAGAATTAAGAGACAGACAGAAAGACAGAAAAATTGTTTTAATATTTGTTTGTATCTGTGTTTTTTTTTTGTTTGTTAACGTAACGTAACAACGTAAAGACAACTTAAAAGTTAAGGATTTAAAAAAAGAAACAACTGAAAATACATATAAATATATTCTAATTTATGCAATATAAACCATTTGCAAGTACGTTTTATTCGTCGACATTGATCTCGCCCAGACCGGTGTGCGCAGGCGTCTTTGTCGCTGAACGGTCGCTTTATTACTGCAACTGCTACTGCTGGAAACACTTTGACCTGAGTCAGCCTCAGCCCCACTAGCTGACTCAGTTGGAACTGTTGTCGTCGTCGCCGTTGTCGTCGTCGTCGTCGTCGTCGTCGTTGACGTCGCTGTTGTTGTTGTTGTTGCTGCTTCTGCTGCAGCCGTTTGCTCTTCTGTTGTGCATTCGCTGACTGTTTCGAGTGCTTTGGGTACCTGCGTCTCAGAGAGCACCAGAGACGCCGGCAGCGCTCCTTGCTTTGTTTGATTGTCTGTGGAATTTATTGGTTGCTCAGTCGACGTTTCCGTCGCTGTCGTCGCCGCTGCTTCTGATTCAGGCGTCTTGTGTAGGCTGCAGCTGCCATTTGAGTTGTTGTTGTTGAGATTTTTACAGTTACCGTTGCAGCTTTTGTTGGCAGCCTCGCTGCGATTGGTCGATTGGACGATTGGAGGGGGTCAAGTGTTTTTTTGCACAGCAGTTGGCAGTGAGTCAAAGCGAACCGGTACAGACAACAAATTTATGGTACGGTTCGTTGTTTCGCATATTCATATTAAATATTGTTTTTGTTTTGTTTTGTTTTTAATTTTGTGAATTTCAAAAAATGGTTGGCAATAGAAAGAAAAAATAAATAGAACATCAGTTGATAGTTTTTTTTTTTATATTTTTGTTTTGTATTGTTTGGCTTTTTGCTGGGGTTAAAAGGCAGTTTAAGCGAGGAGTTCATTAGTTGCCCAAGGAACGCGCACACAGAACACCAATGCTCGAGAGTTCGCAGACAAAAAGTGTTGCATACATTTGACTGTCGAACGAGCTCTGCTCGAGCCCAACCCAAACCCGAACCCAAACCCAAGCCCAACTGAACTGAACCCACACTTGGTAATGCAAATCGAACAGTCGTGTCAGGATGTTGTGCATAATTTAAGCCGTATGCAGTCATCAGACACACACATCATGTTCGGCGCTGAATGGGGTCAATATTAAATGCGCACTGTGTGAATGACAGGCGCATGGGGAATTTGGGCTTTTAATTGAAACTATGTTCTCTGGTAAATAATAAAAAAGCAAGGTTGCCTTTCCAACTGTAAGTATAAAATAAAAAATGAAACGACCCAGAATTGAATTCGTTTTGCGTACAGTAACGAGTAATGTTTAGAGCGAGTAACGAGTAACGAATAGGGAATAGTAGAGTCAGAAGATACGAAAACAGTTGTCATCTGGAGAACACGAGGGGAACCAACTCTATACTTAAGAGTAGAGAGACATCAATAATTCAATACACCGAGAATTGGAACTATATTATGTTTTTGGAAAAATCAAAAATATATAGATATATAGAGAGTGAGACAGTTCTTCAATAATACGGTGCTTAGCTTTGCAAACGGGGATTATCACACGATTCTCAGTAGTAATAGTTGTAGTAGTAGTTGTTGTTGTGTATGTTTTGACTAGACTAGCTAAAATACACGCGTTCTCTGTTTATATTATGAGTTTGATGAGATATCGTAATGAATTGAATATGATAAACTTTGCTGCAGAACTGCAGAGCAAAGCAATAATAGTTTAAGTAAAGTCAGTTGAACAGAAAATAGCACTACAAAGTATGATTCAAAACGAAAGTTAAAATAGTTAGAAAGAGATAGAGAGAGGGAAAGAGAAGAACAGTTTAGGAAAAAGATTGAGTGGAATGATATATGAATTTAGTATTTGTTGGTGTGTTGGATAAGTATAATTTTTTGTTGGTATGAGCGCGCAGTTGGGGCAGGGTCATTAAATGGGGTAGAGAGACAGATAGAGAGATAGAGTTAAAAAAATGTAACAAAGTTAACGACAACCCAAAATATTTTTGAAATTGGCTCTAAAAAGACTTACTCTTCGCTCTCAACGGATGAAGACGCAATCTGCCCCAATTTACTTTTACCTGATGTGGGGCTTCTGATCAAACACACACACATGTATAAAAAAGAAAAAAAAAACGAATATATAAAAAACGTGTAAAATTGTAAAAGAGAAAAGCAAAATCAAAAACCAAAAACAAAAACAAAAAAGAAAAACCAAGACATTTATCGATAGCTACATTTGGGTTAAGATTGTTTGGAATGAGAAATGTATGTAAATTCTCCGATTTATGAAACTTTGTTTGAAGCTTGCCTTCTGTGCGCAATCCAAATAGAAATTCAATTCAATCATCACTATATGACGAGGATACATACTAATACGCTAAAGCCTGAACCGATTGTATTATATAAAAACATTGTATTATAGAGAGAATTAGACGATCCCCGAAAGCACCAGCGAATTCTTGTATTTTGCCGGTTCGTCGTTAGAGTTAGGATTAGAATAGAATAGTGCAGAACAGCTTCGAGTTCTTCAAGTACACAAACAAAATCAACACATATACAATGCATCCACCTACCTTGACTCGTCTATGAAAACGGCCTCGAGCACACGCGCCGCATAGTGCAGGTTCCGCTGCATATCCTCGTAGGCGACGGTCTCATGGTCCATCCGTCGCAGCAAGCTGCGTATTCTGCGAATGCAAAACAATTAATTAATAGCCAACCAGACCTTGAGAAATTAGTAGAAATAAGCCTAGTCTAGGAGTTACCCTGAACCCTTTCTTTTATTCCAATTATTGCATTCTTTACTTAAATATCTTAAATAAATATCTTAAATTATTTAAATATCACTGGAATTCAGATATGTGTATTTTTCAAAGAGAACATATTTTAATATTGGAAAAACATTTCGTGTAAATTTGCATAGGTCGCTCAGTACATTTATAGCTTGAGAAGGAAATGTATAGCTCTTCAAGGTGCTCAAATTTCGTTTATAAAAAATAAGAAGATATGTTTTCTTTAATTGTTTATATTTTATTGTGAAAATATAGGTATATTTGATATATTCTATTCTATATATACTACTATGAAATCTTGACACAATATGAATCTAATCTACTTTATTAGAAATGCTAAAATTAAATATCTCATTGTAAGCATCTAAATTATGCTTATTAAATTATAT